GTCATCACTGACAACAATATATTTATACACTTATACACTCATGTTTTTCACCTTTGTTTTTTACATTATGGGCAGATTTTGTTGTAATCTTCCGAACACTGCCAAGAGCTGAATCTGTCGATTGACTTCTCGATCAAATCAAGTTGCACTCACCTTGTTAGACAATTTGTCCTAGGTAAACATACTCGTCAACAACTTCTTGTATAGTGCTCCTAACAACTACTGGCGTAGGAGTGGACATGGATGTTATACATGACCTATGTCTTGTTTATGCTCATTTTAAAACCTATGTATTGGGAGACACTATTGCGATCATGGACTACACTGCTAAAGTTCTTCAGTCATTCTGAAATAATGATTATATAGCCATTATATATACATCGGCAAGTCGAAGGTGAGTGAGGGAACACTAAGAAGTATATAACATTCTGGCAAGAAAAGAATCATGGAATTTTAATACTTATAAAAGCTAGAAATTAGCATATTTAACTAAATAAATTATCCTTTAGGTGTTACCATCAGCTTAGTATCCTACAATTAGTTAAATAAACTCACGCACTCAATACTAATGCAAGACTGTAAGCTTATACTGCATAAATAAGACCGAAACTTAATTTAAACTGTAGGTAGCTCAGGTTAACTCTGACACAAACTGACTAAATATTTTCATACCTCATGATCATTTTACGACTTGGCGTTATTTATATTCTTGTATAAAAACACCTTAAAAAGGAGGGATAGAATCGTTTGACAGGATTTTGGTGGAGTGAGGTGTTTTTTTTTGGTAGAAGTTTGGTCCCCGATTATTACAATACCACTCGCATTAAAAGGTAATGCACTCTTTTCGAGAGAAAAGAAACTATTATTACCAATAATGTGTAAAACATGGAAAAACGAATGCAATGTTACCATTAAAGCTGGATAGCATACATAATTATTTTGTGTAAGTGCGACAAGGGCGTATCTCATTATACTTTTATGGTATTTTATTCTTCTATGATCTATAGTTCTCATTATAAATTATGTTTAAAAACAATAAAGAAATGATTATTACATACTTTACACCCAGAAATCCATTCAGTTGAGTTAGGTTAGAAGCCTTTGTAGTTTTTTTATTTAACTGACAAGAAATACATGAGCATCAAGAAATCCTTACAGTTGTGATAGGGGGACAGCCCTGCTCCCCATCTCCCTCCCATTCCTGCCAGAGGGAGACCAATTTTATCACTTTAAAGTTAGGTCTATTGGATTTTCTTTTTAAGTTTTCTCAAGAACGGTGGCTTACCTTTTCATGTGAGTGGTGTCGGGGACTCGGGGTTGAAGACACACGCTACCTTCTTCCCCCAAGAATCAAAAATTTTGGGTTTTTATTTTTTCTAATATGTGTTACCTCAGAACTTTCTTCTAGGATCTCGTAGACATATTTGTGTTTCCATTGTCGGCGTAACAGAATTTCACTACCCCGTCATCACATATCGTCCCGTGGTGGGTGTCGTAAGAGGTGACAACGAGAAATAAATTGGGAGTAGGCAGCAGCAGTATCTTCCTAATAAAAACTAAAAAAAAAACTGCAGTTGTCAAGTGTGGCAACTATGGTAAATTCCAACTAATTGGTGTCCATTTTTACAACAAAATAAATCAAACACGTATAAAATTACGTATAAAACACGTATAAAAAAAACTGCGGTTGCCAACCCGCTCGCCAAGCGTGGCAACTATGGCAATATACCCCCCATGAACTGACGAGAAGATCCTGGAGCTGGAAGAAGAGATAGACAAGTTGCGCTGGAGTATTATAGGATTATCCGAGGTCCGAAGAGAGGGGGAGGACACGGTGATTCTCGAATCCGGCAACTTGTTCTATCACCGGGAGGGCGACCATCTGTCCCAAGGAGGTGTCGGATTTATCGTCCACAAGTCTCTCGTCAACAACGTTGTACAGATTGAGAGTGTGTCGACGAGGGTCGCGTACCTGATACTCAGAATCACCAAACGGTATTCGCTGAAGGTCATACAGGTTTACGCACCAACGTCGGCACATTCCGATGAGGAGGTGGAGGAAATGTATGAGGATATTTCCAAAGCCATACATTCCTCCAAAACCCACTACACGGTGTTGATGGGAGACTTCAACGCAAAACTAGGCACAAGAGAAAGCGGTGAGCTGAAGTTAGGGAAATTTGGAGTAGGGCAACGGAACCGAAGGGGCCAGCAGCTGGCCGACTTTATGGAGAAAGAGGGACTCTTTATGATGAACTCTTTCTTCCAGAAGCGGCCCCACAGGAAGTGGACCTGGTCGAGCCCCGACGGTTCGACAAAAAATGAGATTGACTTCATTATGACGACCAGACGCCAACTGTTCAGTGATGTCTCAGTGATCGCAAGGGTGAAAACTGGCAGCGATCACCGAATGGTTAGAGGCACACTGAACCTAAACGTTAAGTTGGAGAGGTCTCGTCTAATGAAGTCAACGCTCCGTCCCCCCTCGTGCTCTGATCCAAAATCCCGAAAACTTTCAGCTCGAGTTACACAACCGCTTTCAGTGCCTACAAGATTGCAATGCAGTGGACGATATGAATGACAAGCTCGTGGAAACTGTCCATGCGGTCGGAGCTAAGTTCTGCAAGACCCGCCGCAGAAGAACACAAAAACTCTCCGATCACACTCTTAATCTCATGGCTGTTAGACGGGAGATGAGGCTGCAATCGTCAACAGATTTGACAGCATACAGGCAACTGAACAGACAGATCTCCAAATGCATGCGGCGAGACTTACGCAACTTTAATACTGCTCGTATTAAAGAAGCGATCGAGCGGAACCAGGGCTCCAAAGTCTTTGCCAGAGATCTATCTGCCAGAAAGAGCCAACTGTCAAGGCTGAAGACTGAGTGTGGCAGCATCGTTTCCGGGACACCTAAGATTTTGAGTGAGATTGAGAGGTTCTATGGGCAGCTGTACACATCATCGTTGGAGCCACACGCAAGTGTGAGTAACGATCCAAGAGCAAGTCTTATCCGACACTATTCCGATGATATCCCGGACGTCAGTCTAAGCGAGATTAGAATGGCTCTCCAGCACCTTAAAAACGGCAGGGCCCCAGGCGAGGATGGAATTACAGCGGAGCTTCTGAAAGCGGGTGGAACACCGGTACTTGAAGTCCTTCAGAAGCTCTTCAATTCCGTCCTCCATGGTGGCACTACTCCAGAGGCGTGGAGCAGAAGTGCGGTGGTCTTGTTCTTTAAGAAAGGCGACAACGCTCTCTTGAAGAACTACAGACCGATTTCCCTTCTGAGCCGCGTCTACGTGCTGTTTTCGAGAGTCATTACGAATCGTCTCGCACGCAGACTCGACGACTTCCAGCCTCCCGAACAAGCCGGTTTCCGAAAAGGCTTCAGTACCATAGACCACATACATACCCTGCGGCAGATTGTACAGAAGACTGAAGAGTACAATTTGCCACTTTGCCTGGCGTATGTGGACTATGAGAAAGCCTTTGATTCCGTCGAAATTTGGGCGGTGCTGCAGTCCCTTCAGCGGTGCCAAGTTGACTGTCGGTATATTGAAGTGCTGAAGTGTTTGTACAGTAGGGCTACGATGGCTATCCGAGTACAGAACCAGAGCTCGAAACCTATCCAACTGCAGAGAGGTGTAAGACAGGGTGACGTTATATCCCCGAAACTCTTCACCGCTGCTTTGGAAGACGTTTTCAAGCTACTGTACTGGAAAGGATACGGTATTAACATCAATGGCGAGTACATCACTCACCTTCGATTTGCCGACGATATAGTCCTTATGGCAGAATCGCTGGAGGACTTAAGCACTATGCTCAATGACCTCAATAGTGCCTCCCAACGGATAGGTCTTAAGATGAACATGGACAAAACAAAGATTATGTTTAATGTCCATGTCACACCTATGCCGGTAGTTGTTGGGAGCACTATGCTCGAAGTTGTTGACGAGTACGTTTACCTGGGACAAATAGTCCGACTAGGTAAGTCCAACTTCGACCGAGAGGTCAATCGACGGATTCAACTCGGCTGGGCAGCGTTCGGGAAATTACGACATATCTTCTCGTCAGGTATACCTCAATCTCTGAAAACTAAAGTGTACAACCAGTGCGTGTTGCCAGTGATGACTTACGGATCAGAGACGTGGTCCTTCACTGCTGGCCGTATGAGGACGCTCAAGGTCGCTCAGCGAGCTATGGAGAGGGCTATGCTCGGAGTTTCTCTGCGTGATAGACTCAGAAATGAGGATATCCGCAGTAAAACCAGATTGACCGACATAGCCCAACGGATTAGTAAGCTGAAGTGGCAATGGGCCGGCCATATAGCTCGAAGAACCGATAACCGATGGGGAAGAAAGGTTCTCGAGTGGCAGCCTCGTACCGGTAGGCGTAGTGTAGGGCGACCCCCCACTAGATGGAGTGACGACCTGGTAAGATATGCAGGAAGTCGATGGATGCAGGTGGCTCAGGACCGTGCTTTGTGGCATTACTTGGGAGAGGCCTATGTTCAGCAGTGGACTTGTGAAGGGCTGTGATGATGATGATGATGTATAAAATCAAGTAGTTCCAAAAGTCAAGTACTTCCGTGATTGTGACTACTGAATGTATTTCTTTATTATAATATATAATTATTTAATCACTCAAGCTAATTCTTGTCAGGAACGGAACTTTTGGCGCTTTGTGTAAATTAATTACAATTTCTCTACAGTAAGAAATTTTCAAATTAAGCTTCCTTTTTTACGATCCCAAGACAATTTATGTATGAAATTTATGTATTCATAAGCAAGTAGAGTTATTTTAATAATAACTTTTACAAAATATTAAGGACGCCATAATATCTTGTATTTATATAGCAATAGTTGTATTCCGTTATGATGTACTTGACTTGAATCCGAAATGACCGCGTAATTATCTATCTCTTATAAAAATCTAGCTGAAAGCAGTAACTAAAATTAGTTTTCATATATTAATCATTTTTGTGCTTAAATTTTCAGCATTAATGCAGTTGAAGAAGTTCGACGTACAGGCAAGATCTGTGTTCTTGATATTGAAATGGAAGGAGTTAAACAAGTAAAATGTACAGATCTGGATCCACTTTTAGTGTTTGTAATGCCCCCATCAATTGAGGAACTCGAAAGACGACTCCGTCGGCGTAACACGGAACAGGAAGAAGCTTTAAAAAAGAGATTAGAAACTGCAAGACGGGAAATTGAATTTGGTATGTAAAATTGTGTTGCATTTATAATATAACATTGAACGCCGCGTAATGGCGGCGAAAAAGAATCTACTACCCTATATCATGCCATTGGTGTCGTAAGAGTCGTCAGAGGGAAACTAAAACATGAGATGGCAGCAGCATCTTCCTGAAAATAACTCAAGATAATAAATATATTGTAGTTGTAAACGTGCCTACCCAGCGTAGCAACCATGGCATATATGACGCAACCCTCTCCATGACACAATATTTTTTTAAAAGGCCTTGGCCTTTTAAAAAGACCTGCTGTCACTCTTGAGGACTTACGATGGAATGCAATACAGCTTGTTACTTTAGTGGCTTTTTGAAAGTGTACTAATCTTTATGAAACAGCATTGGCTCGCAATTTACTTGAGGAGGAAAGTAGTCTTGGTTTTCTTGATTATATACAGGCTTATATATTTTTCTATAATTATAATATCATTTATTTGCTTAAACATGGTACATTAGAGGGTGACAAATAGTTGTATGTTGTACATAGTCCACATGTTTACCACATTTGGCGTGCGAAAATTATTAATTAAATAAAACAATTATGTACATTGGTTAAATTAAACCAAATTAATATAAATGAAATAAAATTAAAACTACAATCGTCATGTCAATCATTATTAATGGTAAAATTTTAAATATAAAAAGAATACATATTAAATCTACAGAATAAAAATATAGTCTAAAACACAATAATGTCAAATTGAGGTAACAAGATTCTATTAATTTTTTTTTATAGGCGAGGGGGCAAACGAGCATGCGGCTCACCTGATGTTAAGTGACTACCGCCGCCCATGAACAACTGCAACACCAGGGGAATTGCAGGTGCGTTGCCGGCCTTTTAGAAAGGAGTAAGCTCTTTTCTTTAAGGTCCCTAAGTTGTATCGGTCCGGAAAAGTCGTCGGTGAACTCCTAGTGAAACTGACAGTAGTGGACTGCCAAGCATCCAGATGGTGTGGATGGTATTGGGAGGTTTACCGCGTAGTGCGTTCATGAAATTTGGTGGCTGGGATTAATCCGAAAAAATCCTCAGAGCACTCCCCGTGGTAGATGGGAAAGAAAATGCAAAGAGATGCAACATCTCTTCGCAGCGCCAGTGAATCGAGCCGATCGGAAAGCACTCGATCGTCGACGATTCGAGCCGCTCTGCGCTGGATGCGGTCAAGGGGAAGGAGCTAGCACTGGGGAGCCCCAGCCCAGAGATGGGAACAACCCACCACCTCCCATGGCCCCAACGACCCTCAGGTCATACGGGCCGAATCTCGGGAGATGCGCGAGGTACTTGAACCTTTCTCTTTCCCGCGCGCACTTTCTTGACTCCCTACAAATATTTATTCTATTCCTTGTCCCAGTTTAACGTCATTCTCACCCTTCTGGGGCTGACGGCGCAATAACGCCTACGTCGTCGGGCCTTACTACCAGCATTCTGTCTTGCCTTAGCCTGCGATCGTACCACCTATGCGCAAACTCTCGCAATAGTCCGTAGTTCACCCCATCGCTGACGAGATCCAAGTAGTAAATAGTCCATCCATCATTTTCGTTCTCAGGTCGTCATACAGAGGACATTCCCATAGAACATGGTGGATATCCTCTTCTGTCACACCACACTACACATACTAGTATCACACAGTCGCATGTCGCACAATCTCTTCCGAAAACATCCATGTCCGGTGAGAATCTGGGATGTTTGATAGTCCGGTGAGACCGAGGTATACCTGAGCCTCAACGCCACCTCCGGGAAAAATCGATATATTTCACGTCCTTTCGTATCATTCATCCATCGTTCCTGCCAGGCACCTATCACCTCAGTCCAGATTTCGCGCTTTCGTCTGCTCAACTCCTCTTTGGGCGCGGTCAAACGTGCCATACCCATCCTACCAGCACGGATGACCTCCAGGTCAGCTGGGAGAACTCCAGACAGCACCGGTAAGGCCGCCGTGCTAGTGGATCGGTGTGCTTTGGTCAGCAATACAAGGGCGGGATCGTTGCGATCTTAGTAGTACGCTACGGACTGTATACATGTTCGATCGCTCGTACCAGCACTCTGCTGTATACGCAAGCGTGGACACAAACACTCCTCTGTAGACAATTTTTAAACTCGGGTATCGCACGCCCCACGACGATGTCGATACGCGAGTCATCTTGCCGAATCCCTCGGTCGCTCTTTCAGAAATATCAGTCGGTCGGTCAGAGATGGGAACAGTATTCCATGTGAGGCCGAACCTGCGCCTTGTAAAGTTGCAGGCGGTGTGCCTGCATGAAATATTGTCCCGCTCTGCTGAGCACGCCAAGTTTTTTAGAGGCCAATTTGGCCTTCTCTTCCAAGTGACCACGGAACTGCACGTCACTCGATATGTCCGAGAATTCCGATACTGGCTATGGCAACAAGGGAGTGGATTGAAACGGAGGAGATACGACAAAAGGGTTCTTTTTAGCAGTTAAGGCGCAAACTTGTGTCTTCTGAGGGTTAAACTGAATTAGATTTAGTCGCCCCCAATCCGAGTTCAGCAGTGACTCGACTTCAGACACAGTTTGCCCCGGTACTCGGAGACATTTTCCCGAGAAATATTGGCACGGCCGGTGTACAGAGCATCACCAGTGCTGTCATCTGCATAGCAATGAATGTTGCTGGTTTGGGTGATATCATTGATGTGCGGAAGAAACAGCGTTGGTGATAGCACGCAGCCTTGTGGAACTCCAGCATTAATAGGCTTGTAATCGGAGCATGCACCGTCTACTACGACCTTGATGCTCCGATCTGCAAGAAAACCGGTGATCCAATTGCACAATTTCTCGGGAAGCCCATAGGAAGGGAGCTTCGAAAGAAGCGCTTTGTGCCAATCCCGATTGAAGGCCTTCGCAATGTCCAAACTAACGGCCAAACCCTCACGCTTGGACTCTACTGTCTCCGCCCATCTATGAATCAGGTGGATCAGGAGATCACCAGCTGATCGACCCCGACGAAAACCGTATTGGCGGTCACTAATCAGCTGGTGATCCTCAATGTACCGCATGAGCTGGCAGTTTATAATGGATTCCATTATTTTGGAGAACAAGGAGGTAATGGCGATAGGCCTGTAGTTTGACGGATCTGAGCGGTCACCTTTTTTGGGGTCGGGTAGACGAACGAGTTTCATGATTTTGGGACTACGCCTAAGGAGTAGGAGTACCGAAAAAGACGCCTTAGAACCAGTGCCAACTCTGGAGCACACGTCCTCAACACGTCGTCCGTCACAATGTGGGGATTCCCTCATGCCCACGCGACTTGTGAATGTTCAGGGAGACTATTCTCCCTTTTGCGAACCGAGCGCTATGTGAACTGCACATCCGGCATGGAATACTCATACCGTGGGATGGTCAGCGGTGTGCTCCCCCCGTCATCAAGAGTCGAGTTAAACGCGAAGAAAGAGCCTAGCAGATCGGTTTTCCCCTTTATTGCATGGGACAATGAGTCGTCTTCCCTGTGCAGAGATGGAAGAGATGGCGGACAGAAATTCTTTTCTTTTCTTTTTCTTTTAGGCGAAGTAACCAATTGTGTCAAAGCATATGCTAAGGCAAAATGATGATGATCATGAACAGATCTCCCCCATGATACATGATACTCACTAGACGAAACGCGAAAGCTGAGCTTCCACTTCACGCCGGTATTCTGTGAGGAGGAGCAAAGCTGCCGCGAGGCTCTACCACTGTTAATCATTTAAAAATTGTTTGACATCATAAATACATTTTAGTAATAACCAGCTTTTGAGTTTGGTTTTAAATTTACCAGTTTCTGGCTCTTTTCGGAAGTTTATTATAAATCTTTATACTCATTGTGTAACAACCATAATGATAAAATGCCGTTTTAGGTATACATTCTAAAACTAGTCTACTAGATTTTCGAGTGTTAAGGTGCACCGGGGCTATTGTAACTAAAAATTTTGTCGAACGATGTCGAACTATAAACCTTCGTAACGGTTACTTATTTACTATTTCAATTTAATGTTGCAAATCTGTATAAGAATCTGGATTTAATTTGTAATCTTACATATTAAATCCAGATGCTTATTACTGACGCAACGAATAACATGATAACTAAGGGACAGCTGTGAGATTGCGTGCTAGAGCCACAAAAAGTTACATTTACCCCACGCCAACTGTTCAGTGATGTCTCAGTGATCGCAAGTGTGAAAACTGGCAGCGATCACCGAATGGTTAGAGGCACACTGAACCTAAACGTTAAGTTGGAGAAGTCTCGTCTAATGACGTCAACGCTCCGTCACCGTCATGCTCTAATCCAGAATCCCGAAACCTTTCAGCTCGAGTGACGTAACCGCTTTCAGTGTCTAGAAGATTGCAGTGGACGATATGAATGACAAGCTCGTGGAAACTGTCCATGCGGTCGGAGCTAAGTTCTGCAAGACCCGCCGCAGAAGAACACAAAACTCTCCGATCACACTCTTAATCTCATGGCTGTTAGACGGGAGATGAGGCATCAGATTTGACAGCATACAGGCAACTGAACAGACAGATCTCCAAATGCATGCGGCGAGACTTATTATATAGACGAGAGTATTAAAGAAACGATCGAGCGGAACCAGGGCTCCAAAGTCTTTGCCAGAGACCTGTCTGCCAGAAAGAGCCAACTGTCAAAGCTGAAGACTGAGTGTGGCAGCATCATTTCCGGGACATCTGAGATTTGGAGTGAGATTGAGAGGTTCTATGGGCAGTTGTACACATCATTGTTGGAGCCACACGCAAGTGTGAGTAACGATCCAAGAGCAAGTCTTTTCCGAAACTATTCCGATGATATCCCGGCGTCAGTCTGAGCGAGATTAGAATGGCTCTCCAGCACCTTAAAAACGGCAGAGCCCCTGGCGAGGATGGAATTACAGCGGAGCTCCTGAAAGCGGGTGGAACACCGGTACTTGAAGTCCTTCAGAAGCTCTTCAATTCCGTCCTCCATGGTGGCACTACTCCGGAGGCGTGGAGCA